CCTTCCAAGTAGCTGGAACTACAGGCGCACGCTACCATGCCTGGCTAATTTTTTTGATTTTTTGTAGAGATGAGATCTCACCAAGTTGCCCAGGTGGGTCTCGAACCAGTGGGCTCAGGCAATTCACTCACCTTGGCCTCCCAAAACGCAGGATTACAGGCGTTATATTTTCATATTTGTTCTTATAAGGTCTCACTAAGTTGCCCAGGTTGGTCTCGAACCCCTGGGCTCAGGCAATCCTTTCGCTTCGGCCTCCCAAATTGCTGGGATTACAGGCGTGAGGCACCACGTCCAGCTAAAAATTTTGGAGTGACAGGGTCTTGCTATGTTGCCCAGGCTTGTCTGGAACTCCTGGCCTCAAGTGACCCTCCTGCCTCAGTCTCCCAAATTGTTGAGATTATAAGCATAAGCTACTGAGCCCTGACTCTTATTTTTATTAAACAATTAGTGAGTCCCTACCATGTGCTTGTGCCAAGCACTTTACAGGCACTTTTCTCATTTAGGCCTCGTGCCCCCAGGGAGGGAGGAACTGTTACTGTGATCCCCATTTTACACACGTGGACACTGTGTGGCCCAAGCAGGACGGTGTTGTTTCCCTAACACCTCAGCCCACACGCTTACCTGAGAACTGTCCTTATTTATATTTATATATTACATTCATATTACAGCCCTTTCCCACACAGTGAAATTTCCATTGAAAGCATGTTTTTGAATTTTAAAAAAAGTACTGTGAATCAGATTTTCAAGAATGGACATTTGGGTTGGGTGCCGCCTTTTCCAGGAAGTCCTCCGGCGGGGCAGGAGCACTTTGGGAGGCTGAGGCAGGAGGACTGCTTGAGTCCAGGAGTTCAACACCAGCCCAGGCAGCATAGTGAGACTTCGTCTTCACAAAAAAATCCCCACAAAAATTAGCCTATAGTCCCAGTGACTCGGGAGGCTAAGGTGGGAGTATCACCTGAGCCCAGGAGGTCGAGTCTGTAGTGAGCTGTGATGGTGCCACTGTACTCCAGCCTGGGTGACAGAGACCCCTACTCAAAAAAAAAAAAAAAAAAAAAAAGGCGATTGGAAAGGGTCCCGCCCTGGCAATGGGATGGTGCTGGTAGAGGTAGCCCTGGGCAGCTGGAGAGGGGTCTGTCTGCTCCCCAGGCCTCACCGGGCCACCCTGGGGTCTTCAACAAGGATCTGGGCTGGGTCACTGGGGGGCACGGCTGCCAGAGATGCTAATGCCAAGGAAGAGTGCCTGGCGATGGGCTGCAGCCCCGCCCGGGAGGTTCCTGCACGGCAGGAGCGTGTGCTGCGGGCAGTCCTTGACCTTGGGGTGGGGGCGGCGGTTGGGGGAGGGTGACTGGCTCAGGTGGTCAGGGCTAGGAGCAGCCGGGTGGTCAGCAAGTCGGCACAAAGAGAAGACGGAATTCCAGAGAGAAGTCAACGCGATAGCCAAAACAAGGCCGGAGGGACGTGCGGATGAACGGCGAGGGTGCGGAAGGGGGTTGCCAGAAAGCGTGGCTCCTCTCACCCGGTTAAACGGATGAAGGACCCCCCCCCAGGAAGGCGCAATCTCCAGGTGGGTTTGCTCCGCTGGCCCCTGCTAATCACATTAGGGGATCATCCAGGCGTCCCGGCGCCGCTTTCACGAAGAGTCTAATCCGGAGCTCAGAAAAGCCCAGCGCGTCCCCAAGGTCGTTCAGCCGGAAAGGGGCTGCTGCGGGGAATCTGAGCTGAGCACGAGTCGCAAACC